ACAAAAACTAAAAATATCGACAGCAATCTGCTGCAAGTGCAGGATACTGCTCCCAGCATGTACAATACGAACAACGTTCTGATTATCTGAAAAGATCTTAACCTTCTTACCAATAATAAAGTTCTGAAAGCTTTTCAAGGCTAAGTAAACAGCCAGTAACTCACGAAAAGAAGAGCTCAAAACCTCCGTTCACCACCAAAAGAGATGTGACCACCATAACCAGACTCGCTGGCATCGCAGGTTAAAACCACGCTAGACGACAAAGGTCTATTTATTGGATAGCTATTAAACGCTTCTACATGCATAAGCAAAAATTTTAATTCATGTAAAACTCCTTCAGTTGCGACAAGTACATCATCCCACGAATGTCGCAATTGAATGAAAAAATACATTTGTCTAATAAATAATCTGGCAATAGGCCCCAAAGCAACAGTAAGGGAAATCACAAATCCAGAAACAAGAGCTACGTCCCTAACACGAAGGTTAGGAAATTCGTCAATAAGACCAGTCAAAACTGCACTCGAATCGTATCAACGATTATCCCTAACCATTCCCCAACTGATGGGGCTCCCAATTGGACTTCTTCTCGTTAGACGTCCAGCCAGAAAGCTGGAGATCAGACCTGACTAATTTACTAGCAGACCGAGCATCTAATAACTATCTGCAGGCAAAGATTCCATCATCAATATACACAATAGCAAAGGATCTCCAACGAGCAACGAGGGGTTTAAACATCTTCGTAAATAAATAACAAGCTGAAGACAGACCGAAGGGCAAAACTCTGAAAACAAAATACCTAACAACGCCATCGAAAGACCATGAAAATCCTAGAAATTTCCAAAAATTAGAGTTAATATCCAGATGATGATAACCCGACTCAATGTGAAAGGTGAAAAACCACAAATTCTCACGAAACATAACCGCCAAAGTAGGAAGACCTTCATATTTAAACTTAAGAGCCAGTCTCTGTAAGATCCTCATATCGAGTTTTGCCCACAAAATGGATTTCGCTCATAATTTTTCTGTAGACTTCTTTTAATAAGTATATTACATATATGAAACTAGATTGGAGAAAGCCGCTTCTGTAAATTTTTTTTAACGAATTTTCTTTCGGCGCCACAGGACGACCTGAGATGCTTGTGAAATATGCAACTTTGGTCAAAATTCGGCCGATTGCTCCGGATAAAAGAGTGCGACCCAAAGCTTCCAATTTACTAGTTAATTTAATTGAGCCTTTATCTTTAAAATAATACAGGTCAGAATCATCAAAACCTTTTCGTTTAGAAAATCTGAGGAAACACACTTAGCCCCTTTGACGGCTTTGACCCACTTAGCGAAACATACGATTTTAGCGGAGCACCATGGGTAACAAAATTTGGTAAACTATCTATCCGAGAAAATGTGGTTATGACGTAGCGTACGCCCGCCCGCCCGCCCACCCGTACACACTCTTCATGTAAGCAGATGTCAAATATCACAATAGGTTTTGCACAACTTGACTAGCCTCTTAGTTATGTAAGCCATCCGTATGAGTACGATTACACTGACAGCTGTCAAAATCAGACATCCGCTGACAATTATCACATGACCATCTCGCGGGCTCAGATGAAAGACCAGTCGTTTTGCCCCTACATATAAGCTAAGCATATAAGCTAATTTTCCACTACATGCCGGACGGATATGTCTTACTCACACTCGTAGTCTGTTAATTCGAATATTCGCCATTCTAATGAAGGTTAATTGACAGCTGTCAAACTAGAGGATACGCTGACCATCATCACCTGAGTGTATCGCGGGCTCATTTGTCTATCCATTGAGGTCACGTAGTGTTTAAAGTTTTGCGCTGATATCTTATTTGATCACGGGCTCAATTCGAAGCCCCATAGCTTAGAAAATCTATCCATCTTAGAAAATTCGGCAATCACGTGACCGTACACCGACCACCCGCACCACAGGCATACCAATGTTTAATCTCACACATTCTACCTAGTTTGGGAGCCTGCAACCTGATATTGTACATCCATGTTTTGATTAATTGACAGCTGTCAAAATAGTGTTTCTGCTGACCAGTATCGCCTGACCCTATCGCGGGCTCAGGTATCGACCCACTGAGTCCGAGTGCTTTTTTGAGGGTATCCGCTGACAAGTTGCTACTTTTCAATTATCGCAGGTTCAAGTTCAACTTTTTTTAAAATGCATATGAAATAAGTCGTGTTCATGAGCCGCACTTTTAAAATGTTGATTTCGAATTGACCTCGGACGCGAAAATTCAACCGGCTTTTACATTTACATGCAGAGAAGGCAATCACTTTTTACTTTTCTCACTGTCACGCGTTGATCACGCTCTACGTCCAATTTTTATGTTCTGATTGGTCAAAATTTGACAGGTGAGTTGATGCGGAAAATTTATGCAGCGTCTGGAAACTTGCTTACTGATAGCTGGAGCTGACAGAGTTTTGTGTCATCTCGTCTTGTGATGTTTTAAACTATCTTTTTGTACTTGGTGTACAAAATGAAATACAGCTGCTATCAAGATTGTTCTGTAATTCATGGCTGGCTTGTTTATTGCGCTTTTTGTTGACAAATGCACCGCTTGTCAAAGTCATTGGAAATCCGATTTCGGATGGCATCGTTTTCAAAAATGAGCTTACTCACTTGCCCTTGCTTGAGGCGTAAGAGGGTTGAAAAGTCTCAAGCGATTCTGGAACTCTTGATGACCTTCAGAAGCAGCATCTCGACTGGTAAGCCTGAGCAATTATTGTCTTTGATGTGTTTTTTTTTTTCGGTTTCCTGACGTCGAGCGTATGGTTTATGCGGCTTAAGTTTATGCACGAGCAATGATCTAACCTACAATAGTATCAGGTTTAAAAGCCTTTAAACATTTTTTGACCGCAAATTCAAAGAAAAGGTTCGAAGATTATTTAGTTATGATTTTGGCTGTAAACAGAAAGCTCTGAGCGAATTTCTTGCCTCGAGTTCATCTTGAAAAAGAGCCAACACCGGGAAGCCGGCTTAAAACATAAATAAGCTTATGCTTACCTGACTCATGATTTTCAGAGACACTTTACTCTCAATACTTCTCTTCGTGAATGAAAAATTATTGTCTCTGTACATGTTTCACCGAATTATATTTATTTGATTGATTGTTAGTAGTCTCTCTCGCAATTTTTATCGCTGCATCGGCTGTTTCCAGTCGAACATAAACATCGCATGCAGGAATACTCAAAACGCCGCGCGTAAATATCACTCGCTTTTAAAGATTACACATAACAAAACCATACACAGTTTAATAAAAAGAGGGAATAAAACCTAAACATAACAATTTCTCTATCATGTTGAAGCGTATAAATGGTAACTCTATTAATCGCACTGCAAATTTGGTGCCTGTCAAAAGTGAGAACCCGTCCGGCTGGCCGAAAAGTGATTTTGGGAATTTTTTTAGCGTTTTCATTAAAAGCCCATAATTATTACCCTGCATATCACATAGGACCAGATTTTTCTAACTGAAAAGTCCCGGCATTATAGAATTCTCTTCATGAAAACGTTTTATAATTCAATGCTATAATTTGTTGTGCAAAGGAAGCGCGTGCTTTGATCGTCGTGGATATTGAATTAGTGCAAATTCTCTTGCAAAATTGTGAAAAACTGCAGAATTATAGGTTTAAATAGGGCAAAAAAGAACAAATTCTGTCCGAGGTCTGTATGATAAAAAAGGGCCTCATAGTACTGTTTACCTAAGACGTGATGAGTAAAAGTATGTTTAAAAGGCTGGTTTACACGCCACCAGATTCGTCGCCAAGATTTACTAGTAAACTAAACTTGTCGAACACAAAAAACCCGGCCTCATTTTTTATTTTGGCCTCTCTTTAAGACAGAGGAATGCAACGTATAAATTGGCTGCCACCAAGGACTATCGTGGCGCGTGTGTTTCTTAAAATTATATTTCGGGGTTGTCCAATTATCCATAGTCTCTCAAACGGAGCAATGTTGGAGAGACTGGTGAATGCCACATTATGATGCAACAGCTAATGCAAATACAATACACGAATAGGTAGGTCTATTTGTTTTCCAGGCCTAATCTACTGTGATCGAACATGACTGCTATTTTTGGGTGTACAAATAAGACTATTTAATAACTCGATGTAAAAGCTGTTTCACTCTTGGACTGTCAAATTATTTTTCTCTAAAATCACTTAGCCTTTGCCTCAAAAGTCAAATGAAGGTGCCCTGATCTGTGGATTCCAAGTTTATTGTTTGATTTAAATTATGAATTTATTTACGGGAGCTTCGCTTTTAGCCCTGGCTAAATCTATATATTAGCCAAATTCAGTGGATTAAAACTCAAAAGTGGCTCACACTTACAGACTCTCCTGCATACCATTGTGTAGTTCAGTCCTTCAGCTACTGAATCGTGTTAAGAGTTTTGGCGGCCATTCAGTTTCGGTCGAGGGGTGAGTGGCGAAACTTGCCTTACTTTGCCATTTCGCCGGCGTTTCGCCATCGTGAAGTCCAGAAGGATTGTCCGAATAGAAAGCGAGAAATCGGGTATATGTCACTCGAAAATTGTCCATTCCTAAAGACTGCACACATTCAATCACTGTTTTCCATGTGGCTATGGTTTTAACCAAACGAAGAACTGCGAAGATGAGAGAGAAGGCGGTGAACGTGAGCTTATTTACTGTCCGCCATGTTTTTGGAGGGTTTGTGGAAGCGGCAGAATCTGGAATCCGGAATGCGGAATGTGGAATTCGCAACCCTTTCAATGTCGCCTGTTGGAGCATATTGTATACTTTTATACTTTCTTTATTAGCTGAAACTCAATTCGCATTACAATAATTATTTCATCTTTAACTTTACAGGATATTAAACAGAATGTCTCAGAACCTTGGCCTGCTATTCAAACGTGTCCTCAGCTGCTACATAAATAACTATGGAAAATAAGTTGTCAAAACAGCAAACAACTAGATATAGTTCCACTACTCAGCTTCTCAGTCGTTCTC